TCGATTTTTCATCTAATGATTTTCTTGGACTTTCAAGAAATAAGATTTTAAATGATAAATTTTTAAATACTCTTATCACATTTCCTCATCCAATTCTTGGTTCAACAGGTTCACGACTTTTGGATGGAAATTCATCGTATGCTGAATCATTAGACACATTTCTTGCTGAATTTCACAATGCAGAAAGTGCATTAATGTTTACATCTGGTTTTGACGCGAATGTAGGATTTTTTAGTAGTGTCCCACAACCGGGAGATGCAATTATTATAGATGAGTTCGTGCACGCAAGTGTACATGATGGTGTGAGGAATTCTAGAGCATCATTAGTTACAAGTTTCAAACATAATGACATCGAAAATCTTAAATTAGTTTTAGAGAATGTTATAAGAAAAATTGGTACAAAAAGTAATATCTTTGTGGCTGTGGAAGGCTTATATTCAATGGATGGTGATTTTTCTCCTCTAAAGGAAATCGTTGAAACCTTAAAACCATTTAATACATACTTATTCGTTGATGAGGCATGTATTGATCTAAAAAATAGTTACAAAATGAGTGTTGCCAAAAGAAAACTTGTCAGATTTAGTTCCTACGATAATTATATAAATAATGAATGTCTAACGCTAAATTAATTACACAACCAATATACAATCAATGATCTAAGGATTGATAATACGTACCTCTTTTAATCATTACGAATTTTAACCCTTGTATTATAATTGACTTAGGCCCATTCAAATGGCGTGTATGGTTACCAAGGCAGAGGGATCGTTTGTGAATTAGGTTTGGAACGTCACGTGTTCGCACGACTACATACTTTCGGCAAAGCATTAGCTAGTAGCGGAGGTAGTCAAATTTTGATATTACATAATGTTCTCTATATTCAATAATCAAAATATTAAAAAAAAAAATATTTTTATAATAGCGGCTATTCTTGGTCCAAAAATATTAAGGTCATATCTAATCAACTACGCGAGGCCATTAATCTTTTCTACTTTCTTATCATATAACAACCTTATATCTATAAAATGCTCTTATGAGGTCATGTCTAGCGAAATAGGTGATCAGGTATTACCGCATGCATAAATATTTAAACTTTGGTAATTAATAATATTCTAATCTTAAGATAATTAATTCTAGCTTCGACAAAATTTAATGAACTTAATAAAAATATTTCGTTCAACTATCAAATTACCGCATGATGTTTTGTTACCATCCACTAGTGCTATCCAAGGAATAATTGTTCCAGGTAATGAAAACATTCACATTATTTTAAAATAACCAATGTTATCCGGGTAATTCATCATTACAAATATTCATTTTAGGTAATGACAACGCAGTAAAATTAAGTCGTATAATTCAAAAGGCAGGATACAATGTAAAACCAATCCGATCGCCGACCGTCCCTGTTGGAAAAGAACGTGTAAGAATTTGCATACATGCTGATAATACCGAAGAAGAAATTTTAGGTTTAATAAGCGTTATTGAAGATTATTTTAAAGAGAATAGGGGAATAAGAAATAATCTTATTTCTTCAAGACTTTAAGTTTTTTTTTATTTTTTATTAATTCAGATAAATGTATAATCTAAAATTTATTTTGTATACAAAAAAGCACAGCTTAATTTTTATAATTTAAAGTAAATTGTTAAGTTTCTAGAATAGAGAATACAATTCAACTAGTCCTATTAAAATATGGCACTAGTTATTATTAATAAGAATTGAAAATTATCACGTGACATTTCTTTACATCTTAGGAGATCTTAACCTATACCCTGGAGCACGTACTGTAATTAGAGAATTCTTTATTATAATATATAAAAAACTATTAAATACACGTATGTATTTAAATATATATAATAAAAATGCTTTATAATTTAATTTTTTATTTAGCTATCATATTTTGTATCTTTAAATTATAAAAAGTTACATATACAGTAGTAATATTAGGAAATACATTATATATGAGTAAAAAAGTTTTTTGTAATTATATAAAATTTTTACAGGTTTGCAAAAATTTTATACATATAATAAAAAACATTTTTTAAATATATACAGTATACACACTATTTACATATAATAAAAAACATTTTGTGAATATATACAGTATACATACTATATACAATCATACCCAGGCCATATTCCTTCTTTTTTTCAAAGCATTTTTAGAGATATGACTAAAGTAGAAATATAACTCAATATAAAAACAAAAAAAAAATTTTTACTTAAATATGGAGATATAACTCAGGTTAAGGATATAACTTAATGGAGATATAACTCAGATATGACTATACAGTATATAGTATAATTTGCAAATTTGTATAATACAAATTAAAAAATTAATTTGATTAAAGTTAGATTTAAAATTAGGATTTAAGATTGAGATAGGGTATAATTTATACTAAATTTTTTCTTGATTAAAATTCCAAAGACAATTTTATTAGTAAAATTATTTTATTAAATATTTTACCTAATAAGATTCTTTAATTTCACCAGTATCTTTAGTTGTATCACTAATTCATCTTCAAAATTTATTGAAAATTTTTTTTGTCAGCAAACATGCTGCATACGAAAAAAAAATTTTCTCTTTAATTATTTATTTTATTTCACCCTTTCACCCGAACTATTTAGTCATTCAGGATAAAGGTTGTTAAATAAAACTATTACGTATTACCAAAAGCCTGTATTATATATAACGTACTGGGCAAAACCTAAAAAATTTGATCGGTGATATATAACGGTAATACGTACGCAATTGTTATACAGAGACTTTGACCGGTACATTATATAAAGCACTCACATAGAGTTATCAAGTCAATCAATCAAATTAATGAATATCTATTCAACCTTAATCTCGATCTTTGTATTTATTAACATTAATTTAACCAATTGATTTGTTTTTTGAGTTTGACACTATTTGATCGAAGATGGATTTGAATTTTAGTTATGAATCCAAATTAAGTAGAAATCTCGATTTCAAGATCCAAACTATGTAGTAATATCAATTCCAAAAAAATTTTTTTGTCCAAAGCCCTAATCTTTTCCATAATGAAGGTTTCAAGTCTGCTTCTTGTTTAAGTTTAGCTGTTTTATCTATCGCAGCTACAAGTCCTGAATAATATTTTGGATTAGCTGCTGGTCTATAAATCCTATCCGAAAGTGGGTACTGATAAAAACGTAAAATATACGGACTTTATATATCTTTAAATTTAACGATAATTAGTTGCAAAAGAAAATACTAAGATTGAAATTTATAATTAACCTTCTCTTTAAATTCATTTTCTGCCAGCCTTCTTAATGCATCAAGTTCAATTTCTGCATCTAAGACTAAAGCTCTAAGTACATCTGCGTCCTTAACTGCATTATTTTGTCTAAAGCCTTCAGTAACACGTAAGTGAAGAATATGTTTTAAATTTCGATTTGGACGTAAATAGTCCGTTGGCCAACGTTCAATTACACGAAGAAAAGATCGATAAAGCGAAAGAATATTAGTACGTGTTAAAGCTGACATTTTTAATGATTATAATTTGGTACATAATTGGCCAATCTTAACATTTAAGGTCACATGGTATAGATCTTGTGCCAACATGATTTTTTTTTATATCAAGGAAATCTAAATACGTATAATTTGTATAATTTAGGGTCCCTGCAGGCATTTACTAATTTCCCCCCACAGTTGTGATTGGTTGGGATTATTCGTTAAATAAAATGTGACCCCTCAGTTAGGGTTTGGGGTTAGGGTTAGTAGGTGGCATTGTACTAAAATTTTACAAGGAATTTTTTTTGTTAGTGCATAAAAGGTGATTTCTTAGGGAAGTTTTGCGATAAGTGTGACTTTTCAAAAAAAAAAGCGATTGTTGTTTTGATAGTCACGTTACACCTGATCTTGCATCCTGATTGGCCAATATCACAACTGTGGGAAGAAATTAGTAAATGCTCTTTGCAGTAGAAAAGGCCTAAATGCTATATATAATATATGGCCTTTTCTACTGCAAAGACCCTATTTGCATATAATAAGATATAATTGGAAGCCTGATAATAGATTTCTCCTAGATAGCACTTAGAAAACAAACTGTACATAAAATATCCTGTTGTAAATCTTTCCCTAATAGCACTCATATGGGAAAGCATGCCAAGGTGGCCACCTTGGCACAAATTTAAATAGTTGGCATGCCATATGGCACGTTAAAATTTTCGTCATGCCAGGTACGTACGTACGTACTTACATCCCTATTTATAGGTATGCAAATGGACAGATATTTGTTATGCCGAAAGTGTACGTATAAGGAGAGCTTCTTACTAGAGTCTGCTGCTCTACGTAACTGAAAAATTCTGCTGCAATTATCGTTAAATTAGCAAATTCTGCGGTGACGTATAAATAATACTTTAAAAAACAAAATTACAACAAAAAGAAAATTCAATAATTTTTATTCTGCTCGCAGAATTCTGTACAAATTCTGCCCTGAACACTCTACTTTTTACGTATTATAATTGGCAACGCAGGAAGGAACTCTCCTTATGCAAACCTGGGTTATATTCGACGCACTAAAACACGGTAGACATTGATGTGTATGCTTAGATAAGTAACAACATTTGATAAATTCAGAAATTGGTTATACATCGACATATCCAAAATAAAACATTTTTAATTTTTATAATAGTAATGATCTTTGCTTTTGATTGGTCCGATCTTTATTATCGCATCCCTTACGAAAAAAAAAAAAATATTAGTATAATATAAGCATAGGTGCGTACACAAGTGCGTACACACTCTGATATTATTTTACATCTAAGCCCGTTTCTACTTCTTTTAACAAATAATTATGACTGTGGCCACCCGCGAAGTTGACGCTTGGGTAATGTTTACTAGTTTGATTTGCCTTTTTGTTTTAAACTAAATTTGAACAATATTAATTCTTTGTACTTGGGTCAATAGAATAGTTCTCTTAACATTCCTTTGCAAGATGAAGATAAGGAAATCTATGACCTCATCCAAAAAGAAAAGTATAGACAGTTTTCCGGTCTGGAACTGATTGCGTCTGAGGTAACTATTAGACCGAATATTTCATATAACACCTTCAAACGATAATTCAAATCTTGAATATTCCTAAACAAAGAGGGCAATAAATTTATTTGACATAATTTCTTCTTTTTTGATTTTTTATAGAATTTTACCTCTCAGGCTGTTATGGAAGCGAATGGATCACCATTGACAAACAAATATTCTGAAGGCCTTCCGGGTGCTCGCTATTATGGTGGTAATGAATATATTGATCAGGTTGAAAATCTATGTCGCAAAAGAGCTTTGCAAGCTTTCCAATTGAATCCCGAAGAGTGGGGTGTAAATGTACAACCTTATTCTGGAAGTACCGCAAATTTCTGTGCTTTAACAGCTCTGCTTCGACCTCATGATCGATTAATGGGTTTAGATCTACCTTCAGGAGGGCATTTGACTCATGGATGGCAAACCTCAAAGAAAAAAATTTCAACTTCGTCAATATATTTTGAATCCATGCCTTATCGAGCTAATCCAGAAACTGGTTATATTGATTATGATAAACTCGAAGAAAATGCTAATCTTTTCCGTCCCAAATTAATTATCTGTGGTGCAAGTGCGTACTCACGTGATTTTGATTATGTCAGACTTAGAAAGATTGCCGATCAACATGATGCATACTTGTTGGCTGATATTGCTCACATTAGTGGTTTGGTTGCAACCCGTGAAGCGAACAACCCATTTGAATTATGTGACGTTGTTACGACAACTACTCACAAGACTCTAAGAGGACCGCGTGCGGGTTTGATTTTTTTCAGAAAAAAAAAGGATGAATTAGAAAGTCGTGTAAACAATGCTGTCTTCCCTTCTAATCAAGGAGGGCCACATAATAATACCATCGCTGCTATCGCAGTTGCCCTTAAGCAGGTAGCCACTCCTGAATTTCAACAATACGCAAAACAAGTTCGTGTTAATGCTAAAGCTTTAGGTGACGCACTTATAAGTTATGGGTACAAATTAGTAACTGGCGGAACTGATAATCATTTGATCCTTTGGGACTTGAAACCTGTTAAATTAACTGGTAGTAAGGTTGAGAAAATTTGTGACATGGTTAAGTATGTAAATCTATTTAATTTCGAATATTTGTCCTTGTAACCGAACGGAGCAATAGTGTTCATTTATTCTTTCTAATTTATCATATTCATTATGCAGTATAACACTCAATAAAAATTCTGTCCCTGGTGACGTAAACATGGTATCTCCGGGTGGTGTACGTATCGGTACGCCTGCCTTGACATCAAGAAGTTTTAAAGAACCAGACTTTGTGAAGGTGGCAGAATATTTGCATCGCGTAGTACAAATTGCCATTAAGGTCCAGGTTTGTATAAATTGTTGAACTTGATAAAATTGTTGTCTCTACCATATATCCAATATTGAATAGTATATAAACTTAATTATTAGGAAAAATCAGGTAGCAAAATGATGAAAGATTTTGTTATCGCATGTCAAGATGTCGAAGAAATTTCTGCTCTGAAAAAAGAAGTAGAGGCGTTTGCCACTAATTTTCCCATGCCAGGTATGCTTTTAATGTTTTTGTTTATATTTATTCATAATTAATATTAATTGTTGAATTTTATAGGATTTGATCCAACAAACCTTTCGCCCGTAGATTAGACACAGTGTATTACCAAAAATTAATCTATTATTCAGTAGTGATAATGTAATACTGATCGTGGTTCCTGTATTTACCTATAATAAAAAATGGTACAATTCAACAGGCCAAATAAATAATAATAGAATGTGTGTATTGTGGACAAAGAGGAGTACATATACTGTACTAATTATTACTAATCATACTATTCATAATACTGAATAAATCAAATCAAAAATAAAGAGGATACAGCATATTATATTTGTATAATATAGTATGATAATTTGAGATAACATCACGTTGGTACAGTGATAATTTTTTTGATTAGAGAATGC